AATTGCTGATGATGTTAGCTTTGTTCAAGAATATAAATAGTTCATCTTTTACTATCCTTTCCATTATTCTAGATAGGATGGGTGTGTGATTTATGGGACGAAAGTTTTTAACCTCGTGGGCAGCGCCATTTTTATGTCGCGGGATAACAACAGAAGTTTTCCATTGAGTAGGGTATACTCCGTTGTTAAAAGAGAGTGTGAAGATGTTGAGCAAAAGCAGAAGGAAGTCACTACCACTGCGTTTTATTAAACATGGGGGTAGTCCATCAGGGCCTGCGCACGTTGAGGAGTATAAGCGAGCGACTTGACTAGTGATTTTCGCTATAGTGAATTCAACTGTGCATAGACCTTCATTATTTTGCGGCGTGATAAATGTTGATGTGTCTGATGATTCAGTGAGCATTGATTCGGCAAAATAAGCACTGAAAGCGTGAATTGCGCATAACATGTGTACTGCGTCGTGCTGAGCGTGGAACTGATCACAAATTAGTGCGAGTCAAACTAGACATATATTTTCTAAATCTGTGTATTGCACTCCCGCCGTGAATCGGCGTAAATTTAACATTCTCTCCCTCGGTACTGGTGCGAAACGTGTTGAGATGGAGGCGATGGCTGCACACCTGTATGATGCGGACTGCATAGCTACAGTGGGCGACCTGTGGCACCACATTCGCGACCAGGTGATAGCTGCTGCCGAGGAGACGATCGGGCGCGCAAACTGTAAGCGACCTGATTGGTTTGATGACAACAATGCGACGATTGGCGCATTGGTGTCGAGGAAGAATGCAGCATTTGCTGCACATGTGGCAGACTCCTGTGAATATGGTAAGGAGAGTCATTTTCCCAAACTACCACGGAGACTGACCCGAGAGCTTCGTCGCATTAAAAATGCATAGTGGACGGAGAAGGCGAAGCAGATGGAATGCTACGCCGAACGCTTCCAACGCATGAAATTCTTTGACTCCTTGAAGGCGGTGTATGGACGGAGATCGGAGCCGCCGAGGACGCTGATCGATGGTAGTTCAGGCGTTACCTGCACACAGACTGCAGACATAATGCAGATCTGGCGCAAACACTGTCTGTCTTTTGAACAACCCTTTAGAGATCGAGTGGCCTACATTGAACGGCCTCAAGCAGCACGATGTTAAGACGAGTCTAGCGGACATGCCGACACTGGATGAGACGCAGAGAGCACTTGCTCAGCTGCGAAACGGCAAGGGTGCTGGGGCCTACGGGATCCCGCCTGAAGTATTGAACTAGGGCGGATCCGCGTTGTTGTCTGCGCTGCACCACTCGGTGCAACGTTTATGGATTGAGGAGGAGATGCCTCTTTAACTGAAGGATGCGGTTGTGCTACCACTGTACATGGGCAAAGGTAGCAAGCAAGGTTGCACGAATTATCGTGGCATCAACTTGCTGAGTTGTGTGGGCAAGGTGATTGCCGGAATCCTGCTCAACCGCCTCGTCAGTCAGGTTGTGGAGCCTAATATGCCGGAAGAGCCGTGTGGATTCCGCTCGAGTCGCTGCGCTATAGTTATCTTGCTTGCGACTTGTCAGATGCAGGAGAAGTGCAGAGAACGACACCAGCCGTTGTACTCGCTTTTTGTTGATTTCACCAAGGCATTTAATACGGTGAACCGCACCTGGGTAGGTGGGTGCCAGTCCTAGAAATTGAACTTTACATTTCGATGTGGCAGTGGTCATGCCTACTTTATATCTTCAGCCACCACCCGGTTTGGTACGGCCTGCATTATCCGTGGGTCGTCAAGCAAGACAATATCTTCAGCATGGTCCAAGTCAGTAGCGCGGTTACCTGCAACAAGCTCTACCCCAGAATCCTGGAGAGCTTCCAGAGCGCCTAACACGATAACCACAATCGCAGCGTTGAAGGGAAACGGGAACATTTGGTCATCCCTTCCGCACACCACTATTGACGGCCAAAGGTGAATGGAGCTTACCGTAAGATCTCACTGGCAAACATGGTTGTATAAAGTTCGAAGTATGCCGGTATTCTTTTTGGGTAACCCATTCCTTTTTAGACAACGGTACAGAACAGGCCGGTCGACCGAGTCGAACGCAGCCCGGATGTCCAGAAAGGGTACACTAGTTCTCTGTTTCTATAGATTGCGTTGGTGGTTTAACTATCGGAGCGTAAACATGTGATCAGCGCACCCTCGACCGGGGCTGAAGCTAGCTTGTTCTTCTTTGTAGTGTAATTCTCGGATCAGTGTTATCTGCGCAGTAGGATGGATGCTAGCAATTTGGAAGCGACGGAACTTAGACTGATTCCTCTGTGGTCAGCGTTTGAGGTACGCGTGCCCATTTTGATGATGAAGACGATATTCTACTCTCTCCAAGAGGATAGTACCTTTTCTGCACACCAGATCTTGGAGAACAGCGCCTTTAACTGTTTGACAATTGCATCGCCACCGTTCTTGAACAGCTCCGGATGAAGTCCGTCTGATCCAGCAGCTTTGAATCGCTTCAGCTGACGAAGCTCGAGACAAACACGCGCTTCGGTGGGTGGTTCCAGCGAAGCGTTCCAAGGCACGCAATTAGGCACACTTGTGAAAAATGAAGCCAACTGAAACTGTGTGTGGTAGTGTTCAACCGAGCGGGCCTACGCAACTCATTGATTGGCGAACCACCAACCTCGCGCCCTGAGACAACCAAGTTTCGCGATCGTTACGCAGGCTTTGCTTGAGTTGTTTGTTGAGACTGCGGCGGACTTCATCGCAGCTTGAATCAGCTTGGAAAGTTCAGCGGCACTGAAACAATTCCAAAATTGAGCAGAGATCCGGCCTCTCACAGGACGCCCAACGATTTCACAGTATGATTGGCAGGAAGTAAGCAACGCCTTCCGGAGAGAATTCCAATGATTTTCGACATCTGTAGTTGAAGCACCAGCAGTTACATTTACTAAGGAGGAATGATAGGTCAGTTGAATGGATTGGTTAGCTAGCCTGTTGATATCCAGTTTAGGGTACTTAGGTTTCGAGGAACCACCAAAGCGCGTGCAATTATCTGCACAGACCAGATAGTGAACTGAGTCTAGGTAGGTGGACCTAATCGATCTGCAATCCCGTACATGACTGCCATCTGAAGCTGATTGCTGTGTGATCAATTTGTGACCTCTCTTGTGTTGGCGAAGAGGGACACCAAGTGGCGGCGCGTCTGCTTAAATGTCGAGTTCGTGCTCCCGAGTAAGAGTTGGTTATCCTCACTTAGCATGAGAAGCCTCTTTCCGTTATCAGATCGACTCTCATCAAGTGCATGACGGCCACCAATGTGACGTTCGCATGGCAGCAGTCTACCGACTCGTGTATTAAACTCTCCGGCAAGATGGATGCATCGGTTTTTTCGGATGTACTCGAAAGCTGGTGGTATCTGCGACTAAAATCGTCCTTAACTGGTGCACAACTGCAATCGGTTGGAGCTTATGCTGAAACCACAAACTGCATCTCTCTGTACGCTGCCTATTGGTCCTGCATGAGCCTTGGTAAGCTCGGTACTCGATCTGGAACCAAACGAGCAGTGAGACTTCAGCTTTGTTATTCAATGGGGTGCCAAGACTAGCCAAGCCATCTGCAGGAGCCTCTGTGCTACATCACAAATACGGGGAATATTTGGTCCCGAGATCAGCGAGAGGCGTCAACTTAAATACGGTGCTGAAGTCCTTTAACTGCGTCTCAGAAAGACCACTGAAACCAATAGTGAGAGATTCCAAGGTGCGCGCACTGCCGCTTTGTTTTTCGATCTGCATAATGTTTCTAACGTTAAAGACTGTCAGCCGAAATGGAGAACGGGGCCGAATGAGGGCTACTGGTCGGACTATTTGGGCATGAGCTTGACTGTCACCAGAGGTAGATTCAAAGGAATTATTGACGAACCTAGCATTGGTGTGTGATGGAGGCACGAAAATCGCAGAGGGTGCGTGAACGACATAGTGGTTGTAGTAGTTGCGGCATACGTTGTTTTTTTTCAGCTGGTGAGATACTACCCGGTTGCCCAAGCCGAGGTAGGGAGTTGTCTTAGTGGACACCACCCCAAGTCTTTGGCTGAATAGCCTCCTCGCAAGGCATTGCAATGGGTTCAAGGAATCGCACCGATAGGATGCCTTTCATTCAGTCAGGTACTAAACAGAGACCCAATCATCCCCACAAATTCCGCAGCAAGCTGCTGTAGTACATTGCTTCACCGAAGGTAAGCAAGGAACCGTGAACCTATTTAGTGACGAGTCACATCCGTCTCGTCGCATTGTTGTTAAATAGACATGTAGTAACGTGTAAGTCAGTGGATAGTGAGCGGCGCTATATCACATCTAGTAACTTATTCACGATGGTCGTTGCCGTCCCCCGTAGCTCAGTGGTCTCAACCACGGACTAGCAACAGTCGAGTTGCGGTTTCGAGCCCTACCAAGGGTCCGATGGAATGCGCACTGCTGAGGATTCCCGAAAGAATGAAACGCGCGTACAGTGCTTTTCCGGGCTTGTAGCGGCTGTCTGAGTGAGCCTAGATGTGACGAAATTCTACCTATACCATTCAACTCCCCCTACTACTCTTCTGTAAATAGACATGTGGCTTTTTATAAAGAGAATTCTTGCCACGCGAAATCCCACCTCATCCTGGTACACTGCCACCGAAATATTGGCAGGAACTGGGGAATCCCGAACCAATCAGCTGACTCTATGAGTAGGTGGTTCGGCAGACCCTCCTTATACACTGAATCATGTGAACGTGGCAAGATGTTTTTAATTTACCTCTTTCGCAATACGCGCATCGAGTCGTCGTTGCCGGCGGACTGCTTACACATTACTTTTCCTTTAACCGTCTCACTACGTGATGACTGGAATTTAACAATCGAAGATCCTCACTGTAATACCTTCATCATCATTACAACCTTTGTGTACCTCGGTACATACAATTCATTCTAACAGATTTTCCACCGCTTTCCCCGTGCGGTTCATCTGTGGTTATTCCCCTTTTGTTTACCTTTCCAGAAGAACGTCCCCATGCGTGTGACCACTGTGATAAATCGTTTTCGAGGAAGGACGATTTGCAAAGGCATATCAGTTCTGTTCATTTGGGTGAGTGGTTAACCAAACGTGCCACCGTCGACGGTTTTGTTTGATTTCTTCCCAATCAACCTTGCGTTCTTTTCACGCTGAAGCTAAATGTTATTGTGCAAAATGTTCCTATTTCTTATGCCAACTAGTTTCCAGTGAAGCGAATGAGTGTCGTTTATCGTTTGACTCTCCCATACTGGCCTATGATAGAATGTTTGCTTGTGTGTGTTTAAATATTTGTGGCGCGATACTGACTGACCATCGACTCGCTGCTTCCAATGTTGTGCCGTGGACTCATGTCCTTGCCACCATCTCGTGGATGTCATCTGCTACCGAAGAAAAGATCAGACCCGCAAATATGAGTGGCCTGATTGGCTTCATGACAACGGTGCGACCATTGGCGCATTAGTGTCGATGATGGTGTTGATCCTGTCGACTGCGTGAAGTAAAGTCACTTACGGAAGCTTCGTCGATGATTGACTCGTGCTACATCGCATCAAGAATACATAGTAGGTGGAGTGTTGGAGCAGATTGAATTCTGCGCCGAACGCTACGAACCCAAATAATCTTTAGACTCCTCTGTACTTGCGCGACTCTGCCTACAGTGTGGGCCGTTATGACTCCGCCAGACCTTGTCACGCTTTATTTGTGTACTGCATTACGAATCGACCAAACTGAGCGGCAGTGCAAGGGAACTTCATTGACGCAGTAAAAAACCCTTACGTACCTTGTGTTTGTCGACGTCTAAGTCTCTCAGGATGTTGAAGTCGTCGATTTCAACGAGAGCATGGCAGTCATCATCGTCACTGCCCACCGATGAGAAGGTCTCATTACTCAACGCTACTGTGTAGAGAAAGATGGTGAATGTGACTCTAAATGTCCTACAGCGCATTGACGGGCCCATTGAGCGATATTCGGATGACACTGGTGCAGATACCCCAGCGGCTGAAAGGTAATGTTATCCATCTTTCCGTATCTGCAGTATCCAACGGCCGTTAAAGTTTGAGATTCACATTCACGAGGTGTGGTTACGGGCTAGACTGCGTCAACAATGCCACGATGATTAAGGTGTGGTGGTAACTCTTTCCGCAACCATAATATCGCTTCTGCCTTAGCATTCATTTTTCCAGACGACCGCGCATCATCGCCAGGGATTGGGCTTCCGGTTTGAGCAGGATTTTGGCTGAGGGCAACGAAGTTCTCGTTTTGCGGCTATATGAACTGTGGCCTGAGCTTACTTCAATTTCTGGAGATAAAGTCTTTCTTCGTTCCAAAAGCATACAGCTCTTTTGTTTTCATTTATATCCGCTTCCCATCCTTCACTGTTGCTTCCGCCTTACCGCTCGATTGGTTATGGTAATGACGAGTCCGCCATAAGAAAATTGGTGGTTGGTTCGCTTAGTTTGCATCTGCTTATCGTGCGTCACATCGCCTGCCGAGTCCAGCGGACCAGTTTCTTGACCCGTGCGCTCGTGCGTTCACTTGTGCATGTTTGTGTTTGTGTGTGCCAACAACTGCCTCACTCAATCTCCAGGCCCCGCTGCAAGATTTAACATCTCGACCTGACCACAGGTGCACGTCTGGACGCGTTCGTTGAAGTGTTACCTATGGCTATTATCAACCCACTTATCAACTTCCAACTGCGAGAAATCACACAAGGTTGGTTTTCATTGCATTATTTTGCTTTGGCGTCTGAGTCTAAAAACTGGCAAGCTTAGGTCGCGATGGCCCCACCGAAGTCTCTCCGTATTCGGCGAGCCAAGGCTCGAAGTTGCAGACTATAACACGCTTTGCAACAAAGCTTCGGATGTTAAGTCAATGCAAGGAAGGACCACAAACTAAAGACAAATCCCTTAGTTCCACAATTTGATGTTCTTACCTGGCAAGGCCATCGGTCCAACTAATAAGCCTGTATCTAGCAACAGATATTGTAACGTAGTTACTAATTCAGATAGAGTGTTGAGTGAGACAGCGTAGACTACTGGAGAAGAGTTTGACGTTTACTGTCAATAAATCCAAGATAAGAGCCGAATTTACTCCTATTATGGAGACTTCTTTAACGAAGTTACCCGCTTCAACGGTTGAACATATTCGTCAGAGCTTGTAAGAATTATAAAATTTCAGCAACCGGGGAAGCCGAATCTTGCACCAGACGAACGTGACACATTAACTGCCCCAAAAGAAGATCCGAACATTGTTATCACAAAAGCCGATAAAGGCAAAACCACTGTGATAATGAACAAGTCAGATTATTTGGAAAAAATGGAGGCGCACCTAGTGACGGGACCATATAAGGTTATCGACAATAAGTCCGTCATCTCAGTGATGAATAAGCATAAGTCAGAGGTTGGTAATTACTGAAGGAACGTAAAGGAGCATCTAGGACAGGGAAAATGGTACAACATACCCGAAATCATCTCTTCCACCAGGAGTGTATGGCTTACCGAAGATACATAAGCCCGATGTACCCATTCGACCTGTTGTAGATGGCACAGGTTCCCCGACGCATGAACTGGCTGGATATTTGGCTAGCATAATGCAAGGCTTGACGGGGCAAACGAATATGTTCGTAAAGAACTCTTATGACTTTGCGAGAAAGGTGTCTGGTCTTGAGCTTGAGTCGGATGAAATGATGGTCATTTTCGACGTTAGCTCGCTGTTTACCAACGTGCCAATATGCGACGCTTTGGAGGTAGAGAAACACCGTTTAACTGAGGACAGTAATCTGGGAGAGAGGACGAAGCTTACTGTCAATCAAATAACGGAAGGAATGAAATTATGCCTTAACATGTCTTATTTCACGTTCCAATCTAGATTATGCACTCAGGAATTAGGACTTGCCATGGGATCGCCAATATCCCCATGTATTGGCAAATTTATACATGGAAGATTTTAAAACTAGGTCGCCCACTGACTCTTGTAGCTCGACACAAATTTGGTGGCGGTAGGTGGATGACACCATTGTTCAGAAAACTGAATAAGAAGGACGTTTCTAAACCGCTTGAACACTCCTGCGGAGACCATAAGTTTCACTATGGAATTAGAATCTGGCAGTGGAACATTGCCATTCCTTGACTGGTTAGTTCATATGAATGGGGGTAGTCTAAAAACAACGATATATCGGAAGCCGACGGACACAGATGTTGTACTCCGCTATAGTTCAGGTCACCCACAGCATGTGAATGCTGGAATCGCCTCATCTCTGCTTCACAGAGCCCAGACAATGTGCACATAGGAAGAAGATAGGAAGACCGTCCGGAAAGAAGCAATGAACCAATTGCTTGGTAGTGGATACCCGAGACGGTTAGTGAAACGCCAGTTGCAGCGGATTTCAAATCCTCAATCACGGCGTACTACCGAGTGGATTGGGACTGTAGGTATTCAGACGCCATCCGAAGAGTCTTAAATAAAGCAAACATAAGGGTACTTTTCCAGAATGGCCAAACGCTCCGTTCTACACTAGTGCACTCGAAAGACCCACTTCCCGCTGATAGGAAAACCAATTGCGTCTACAAAATTAGTTGCAATGACTGCGCACATATGTACATCGGCCAAACCGCGAGAGACTTACACACAACGATAGCAGAACACAAGAGACGCATAACACAGCCACCGAGAAACGAGCGTGAATATATTGCTCTACTAAGGAGTTCGGCAGTAGCGATGCACGTGTTAGATACAGGGCATGCGATCGACTTGGATAACGTTATCATCATCTATACACGTCAGCTGGAGGTGGGAAACACCTCAGCTACTGTGCCGCAATACATAAAGAAAAACAAAATTAAATACAACAGTTGCGTGCCAGCTGAGCTACCAGCAACGGATAGGCATCGTTCCGGTAAGCTACCGGCCGGTTACTAGGCAAAAAATATGTTTTACACTCTGAATTGAGATTGCAGGTGGTGGGGGAGATTAAAAGGGATGGGGAGTGACAAAGAAACTCACAGCACGAACGCCACTGAGGTCGGCTCCTTGCCATGTCAGCAAGCGTATCCAGCCAAACGTGTTCACCGTCTTTTGGACCCCAACCAGGGAGCCGTGACGCTGCAACCGAGGCCAGCTCCGAAGTGAGGGCCTTCATTCCTCTTGACCAAATCATCGCTTGGTCGCCCCTCCTCTTCTTCCATCCACATCCTCAGCGAGCAAATAACCCACGTCGTGGAAGTCAGTGGGCTGGCATGCGCAACACGTGGCCGAGCCATCGGAACCTGGCGCGTGAAATGATTGTGCTGAGCGGTTCAGATCCATTTTCTGTGCCGTAAGCAAGGCGTCGAACACGCTCGTTGCTCACGCGATGTTCCCACCAAATGTGAGCCAAATTGCGAAGGTACCGATGATCAGACGTAACTAGCCTCTTTATGTCCGCTGATCTTAGGGGCCAGGTTTCGCAACCGTACAGTAAGGTCGAACATACCACTACGTTGTACGCTCTACTCTTCCGGGTGAGAGTAATGTCGCGCCGGCGCCATAAGTGGGGAAGGTTAGCAAAAGCACTTCGAGCTTTTGCTATATGGTTCGTGATCTCGTCTTCGATCCCAAGGGCGCTGATACAACTTCCCAGGTAACTGCATTTCTGAACGACTTCTAACTGATCCCCACCAAGGGGCAGCACAGGAGGCGATCCCCACCAATCTTGGAGGAACGCTTTGCCCTTCGATGGTGCAAAGCAAAGCCCGAAGCGGCTGACAGCCAGTGCTAATCTGTCCAGCGCGGCTTGGCACGTCTGGGAGCTGTCACAGATGAGGGCAATGTCGTCTGCATACTCTAAGTCAAGAAGTCATTCTCCTGGGAGTAGTTCCACACCTTCCAAGTCATGTCCTGTAAATGCAAACACCATGGCTGCGTCAACAGCGAAGTTGAAGAGGAAAGGTGACAGCGGGCATCCTTGTCTCACACCGCTGGAGATACTGGAGGGTGGCGACAGCTTGCCGTAAGCCCGCACTCTGACTGAGCTACGCGCATATAATGATCCGATAATATTTACATATTTCTCGGGCACACCTTTCCTGAGTAGACAA